ACCCCGATTTCAGACGCTGGCACCACCACTGATATTTGTTGTCTATTTAAAATGAATTCATATCAAAGAAAAATGGTGTAAACGAACTGAACATCCATCTAGTGAACTGGTTTCTCACAGACGATGTAAAGAAAAAAACTGGTAAAAACCAAGAAAAAAAAATGAGTGGGTCGGTAACTCCCACAAAAGACAAACAAAAACATTTTTGGCATCTCAGACTTGTTAATTAATCGACAATACTGCTTTAAGTATTATAATTGGCAAATATTTATATGCATAAATAATTATCAGTACATCATTCATCATTTATTCAATCAATTGGTCGAAAACATTCACGAACAAGACTGACAAAAACAATGTTTTTGTCTCCTGGCAAAATTTTATGTTTCTTTTTGAGGTTTGTTATATTCCTACAAACACTGGCACTGTTACAATGTTCAGTATTGGGCAGAAACACTGTCTGTCCAACAACATAGTGAAGTTTATCTTTTAATAGAATTGTTCTGTTTGACTGCTGAAGTGGGATATCATCTTGAGGAATGAGAAACGCTGCACCTGATGTTGAGTCCATGATTTCATTGTTACTAATACAATACTTAGCCCATTTATGCCAGTTGTATACACTCCCATCAATCATCATAACTGACTGTACCCCAGCTTTTTGAACAATAACCGGTTTTGGCATCTTGTATACAATTTGGGTGTATGTCATCTTGTTAACATCATATAAGCTACAATAGAACGTCTTCTTGGAGTTACTTGCACCAAATCGAATGATGTACTTGCCAAAGGCAAATGATGTAGTGCAGTTATGTGCACAACTCTCACAATTTTTCCATTGATCTGTCTCCATTTTCCACATTCTCTTGTTCTCCATTACGTACAGCGTTCCTTGTAGATACACCAAATCATCAGGCTCGTTCGTCGGTAAAACATACAACTTCCATTCATTGCTTTGGCAAGAATATTCCCAGAGTTGATTGCGATGAGCAAGAACCTCTGCTGCATAATACTCGGAGGGATCATAAGGATCAGTCGTTTTAACAAGAGCATATATTGTCGTAAGCGTACTGGTACATTTTTTTATTTGTCCTGGGGGATACTTGCATCCAGGAAGAGGTAGCCACTTGTCTTCCTCATGTTCATAGTACATCGGCATTCTGTATCTAAAAGTTACTAAGAACTGACAATAAAATGAAACAAAAGCATATAGTAATATCATAATTACAAATGTTTTATAATCATGTGTCAATGACACATGATTATAATTAAGCAGCGACTAATTAGTTCATTTTTCTTTCAATGATGTTTTACGAGGGTGGTACATCTAGTCAAGGCTGACCATTTCGGAACCTCAGTAATACAAATAATACATACAAATTCATACAATATAAAACATAATATACTGTAATTATAATTCAACATTTTGGTAGAAGTAACTCCAAGAAAACATTCTATTCTACATACTGTATTCTATTACTGTACCAACCTTATTCTCCTTTGCAGAATATCTTTGATATCTTGGTCGTCGTGGTCGGGTTGCTTTGACCTCCTCTATAGCATGACAGTGCAATGCATCAATGTAAATATCAAGGCATTGCTTATTCTTCATGAATTTATCATCATTGTACAGGCTTTGTCTGAGTACCGCAGCAGGAACGAAATGGAGGTATACAAGCTTCAAAATGTCGACTTCGGTTAAAAAAAACCCCAAAAGATTGTGTTACAATCAATATGTTATTTAAAAAAAAAAAATATGCTAGCAAAGTTAAGCCTTATACACCTACAGAAAGTTAATTTTCAAATTACAGTAATTCCCTCATCAATATTTCTCCATCACATTAAAAGTAAATGTGGCCTGCATTCAGTGGCGTATCTAGAAGTGGCGGCTGTAAGATATATTTTCTGGGGGCTAAGCTGTCCGATGGGAAGGGTGGCCCTAGCCGGTCCCTAATGACATTAAAAAAAAAAAAGGGACCTCTAGATGACTCTTTTGTAAAATACATTAAATGTAAAGTTGTTAAAATAAAATTGTTACTACTCTTGAAGTCAAACACACATTTCATTTCATTAGGCCTATTTTATTTTACTGTATTGTATTTATTTTTTGGTCCAACTGCCCCTGCTGGCACTGCCAATGGTATCTAGGGGCCCCTTAAAGATTAAGTGTGTGTGGGAG